TTCCTCGTTATAAAAATGCTCAATCAAGAATGCAAATATTATAAAAATTTTGGGGTGTTACAATTTCTCCACAAGTTTCAAGCTTCAAACAATCAAGTTCAAGTTCAAGTTCAAGAAATCAAGTTCAAGCTCAAGAACGAAGAACATGTCAAGATTCAAGGAGTATGAGTTCAAATCAAAGTTCGCTAGTTGAATTCAAGATCATCATTCGTGGCAACAACTACATATTCAAGATCAAGCTCGAATGCCTTTGAATTTATTTACTATTGAAAAGAAGAATCAGAGGATTCATAGAGACTGTACACTCATATTACTTGAAATCAAATATTACGATTGTTGCGATATTTTCTGGTCTCGATTATTTTCTTATCGCAACTTATTGTCTACAAATAGTTATAGTTGCTTTCTAAATAGACACTTAGTAGGTGTTTAAACATAAAAATTATAATTAAAAAAATAGTATTTGGAATTCGAAATTGTGTTTGGACATGCATTTCACTTGAAAATATATTGCAATTTTGTGATTGGGGAATTTTTTTTTTTGAAAATTTTGAAAAAATTGTCAAAACTACTTTTTGGTTTTTGAAAAAATTACTTTTGAATTTTTTTTTAAAAACTTGCAAAATTTCATGGACAAACATATTTTTTAAAAAGAAAATTCAAAAAAAGAAAAAAATTCTTACGGGCAAACGGGTCCTTAATTACTTGATCATGAGAAAATGAGCGAAAAGTTGTGTGAAGTAAACGGGTTCGAATTACATTAATCGTGTCTAACTGGATATTGCTTTATGTAAGAAAAAAATTAGAGTAGAGAGGGGGCGCGAAATAACCTCTCCAACTGATAGTGTACCGATAACGTGTAATGTAAAAATTGGTCGGCTAATACTACTCCTACTTGTTTTAAAGTTGTAACGGCTATAGTAAAAGAAAATTAAAGGCCCAAAATTCTTCAAACAATGGCTCTCCCCAGTTTCCATTCATCTACTTTCCTCTGCAACTTCACCCCCTCAATTCCACTTTCCCATTTTAAGCAATTTCCCAATTACTCTTCTCTTAGCGTTCGTTGCTCTACTAGTGAAAGCCAACAGAGTGAAAGCCAGGAATCCAATCAAGATGCACCAAAGAAGAAGAAAAGACTCTCTGAACAGTCTTCATGGGAAGCCAAAGATTCCGACGGCAACGATTATCTTTACAGGCTTGGCGCTGAAGCCGATAATATGAATATCGCTGTTGGTGCTAGGGCTGGAGTCATCGATGATCTCTTCGCCGGAAATTTCCTCGGAAAAGACTGTAAAATACTTCAATTTTGCACTTTCTTTATCATTACCATAATCTCTGCAAAAATTTGTTCCGCTTAATTTTTTTTAATTTGTTTGTCTTTTTCCAGCGGATATTGTGTTTGATTATAGACAGAAGGTGACTAGGTCGTTTGCGTACCTTCAAGGCGACTACTATATTGCTCCGGCGTTTCTGGTACATTAATTCTATTGGTGGTTTTTTCAATTTGTTAGGAAATTAATCAATTTGAGTTGCTCACACACTTTTTTTCTTCTTCTTTGTTTTCTTCATGTGAACAGGATAAAGTCGGTAAGTTTCAATCAGTGCCGCCTTTTTAAATCTTCCAACAGCTAATTTTACACGATTACTGTATCTTGTGTATGAGTACTCGTGCTTCGGCCTGCCAAGATGAGTTTGATTCTAGCGTTTTAGTTTCCTTTCGAATCTTACTTTCTTGCTGGAGTGAATAATAGAGATCAGCTGGAGACTAAGATTCTGCAGAGACATTTGACTAAGATTCTTTTGACTTTTGAGTGTTCTAAAAAAGAGAATCATGATTTGCTATTATTACAATTTATATAGGCACTTTCACTTTAACAGCTAGGTGGTACTCAATCAACCTTGGGGCAAATTTAAATTTCCTTTAATAAGAGGCTATATAGAAAAAATTTCTTGATGTCTAATTATTGACTCAAAAGACTAATCTACGTTTTCCGCACCTGGTACATAACATGTTTTCTCGCAAACCTCTTTCCTTTCATTTGGTTTGGATGTGTATCTGTAAGTTCTGCAGGTATAAAATTGGTTCAGTAGTTCATGTTTTTGGAGGATTTAACATCTACACTTTTATGCAGATTTTAACTTGTGAACTTGTTATTTCACCCTGCACTTCTTGTATGCTATTATTGCAAGCAGTGCTTCCTTATTTAAAAGCATTGGTGTTTAACATTTTTTTTCCTGGCCCCATTTCGATGATATGTGGACTCTTACACCTGCAGTGTGTCACATTGTGAAGAACTACATTTCTCATCTTTTGAACGCCAAAGTTCCTCTGATTCTAGGCAAGTATGTTTTCTTTTCCCATTTTGTTGTTGGCAACTTTAGGATCTTTACATGTACCTTATTCTGAGAAAGTATTTTTTTGTACAAGTAAAATTTATTTTGTGATGGAGATTTGAAAGCAACAGTTTCCTGCACTGCTGTTCCTACTAGAAATACCCGGCACTTCACATTTTATTCTAGTGCTGGACTATCTTAGATATTTTCACTATTCTTTTATATTCTCTGATTGTGATAATTGCTTTACAATCAAATTTTTATCATAATTATAATTTTTATCATGCACATACCATGACATGATCTTGATACTCCGTGGATATTGTTAGTTTTGCTGCAAAAGTTTTGTATTATGCTTGATCAGCTTTTGAGCTGAATTTTAGGGGGATGTGAGAAGATATTCTTAAGATAATGTTTTTTGTAACAGGCATTTGGGGAGGAAAGGGGCAAGGCAAATCATTTCAGACTGAACTGATCTTTCAGGCAATGGGGATTGAACCTGTCATTATGTCTGCCGGAGAACTGGAATCAGAAAGAGCTGGTAGAATTATTTCTGGTTTCTTTATAAATTGCTGAAGAATGATATAGACAGGAATGCTCCTTACTTTTTGGACGTATTGACCAAAATTCGAACTTGAGCAACTATTGTCATCCTTGAATGAAAAAACAAAAAGAAAAACCACCTTGAAACTAATATTTCTGAACTGACAAGCCAGGGTGGCAATCTACAGTATTGACATACAAAAATGGCTTGTGATATCTTCCTTTCTGGGATTTTTTTTAGTATGACTTGGAAAAAAGTTAACCATGTTGATTTCAGATTCTGTTTGATGATTTTTTAGATGCAAATGTGGACACATAATTGACTTGTCGTGATTCCTACTTTGAGATTGCCCCCACTGTCGTACCTGGAAAGAGTCTATAAATAAACCTCGACTGCCTTTCGTTTAAATTTTTTTACTAGATCAATTATCACAAGTGCTATGGTTAGTTAAAGCATTGTCTTAGAGGAACCAAGATTTACTATTGTTGGTTCAGAAAAGTATAAATGGCTTTAATCATATATTTATCCAAGAGCTAGAGACGTTCACCTTCATCCAACAATTTTATAGGTTAGTATGGGAGAAGACATTTCCATAATGAGACACAAAATTTATATGCATAAACTTTCTTTCCAACTCAATTTCAAGGACTCATATTGTGACCATCTCGGATGGTGATCATACTTCTTTCATTTTTCCTGATTACCTTCAAGTAAAGAGTATAATTTTCCAATTTTATAATCTGTGTTTCTTTTACCTTTTTTAAATATATTTTTTACTTTTACAGGAGTTATTTATTTATTTTCTTTTTATCTTTCCTCTAACAGGAGAACCAGGCAAGTTAATACGTGAACGTTACAGAACTGCTTCTCAAGTGGTTCAGAACCAAGTTAGAAGCTTTACTGCTTTTATTACTGGTATATGTATAAGTTTGTATGTCTAGGTTGTGTTATTTAATATAGTTTATGCTATGATTTTTGTTATATACTATGACTTATTAGCTGCTTTAATTTTGACACTTACATTTATCATTCTCTGGTTTTCTGTTTTCTGTGACAGTAGTTCTTATGTAATGGATCTCTTTTATTTTATTTTTTTATGAATAGAAATGTATAGAGAATAAGTTACAAATGTAAGCTTATTTAATCTTACAAGTTACAAATTAAAATTTATCCAAAACATTAAATAACAAAGTTCCAAATGGATGTATGTGATAAATATATGTACACTCCTAATATTGCACGCTATATATTTCTTCCTTTCATGTTTGAGTTCCACAGTAGTTTTCATTCTCTTAGGTGAAAAAGAAGCAAAAGAACCCCCCC